GTTTCTTAAAAACATTACCCCTGAAACGCAGCAAGACCAGTTGAGACAGCTTAAGCGCTTCAATGTTGGTGAGGACTGTCCTGTCTTCGATGGCCTTTATTCTTTTTGTCAAACTTATGCTGGTGGATCTGTTGGTGGTGCCGTTAAGTTAAACCATAAGGTTTGTGATATTGCTGTCAATTGGTCTGGTGGTCTACACCATGCGAAGAAGTGCGAAGCTTCTGGGTTCTGTTATGTCAATGATATTGTTCTGGCGATACTGGAGCTCCTTAAACATTATGAGGTTCGTGTAGCTACAGAAGTATTAACCATTAATTATTAGTTGTTCGATTTTTCTTTCTAATCCATCCTGAGGCATGATTAACTATTAACTGTTGTAAATCTTTCATTTGTCCTGTGATACCATATCATATTAACGTAGTGCACCACTGATTAATGGTAAAGACTCAAGATATGCAATTTTTTTTTTTTTTTTGTAATCTTTAATCACTATCACTTCATGTAGTATGGTGGTTGTGGTTTGAATAAACTCATACTTGGAATAGGATGCATCTTGAAAAAATTTTATTTTGTTATTTTTTGCATGTTGATCTTGTGATTGTGAAACTTCTTTATGTGCAGCGTGTTTTATATGTTGACATTGATATCCACCATGGAGATGGTGTTGAAGAGGCTTTTTATACAACAGACAGAGTCATGACTGTATCGTTCCACAAATTTGGAGATTATTTTCCTGGTACAGGAGATATAAGAGACATTGGTTATGGGAAAGGAAAGTACTACTCACTTAATGTTCCTTTGGATGATGGAATTGATGATGAGAGCTATCATTACTTGTTCAAACCTATAATGGGAAAAGTTATGGAAGTTTTTAGACCTGGTGCTGTTGTTCTCCAATGTGGTGCTGACTCTCTTTCTGGCGATAGGCTAGGATGCTTTAACCTGTCAATAAAAGGTCATGGAGAGTGTGTTAGATATATGAGATCATTCAATGTGCCTCTATTACTGCTTGGTGGGGGTGGCTATACCATCCGTAATGTCGCTCGCTGCTGGTGCTACGAGGTACACATTTTGCTTTCAAAGAATGATTTTTGTATGATCAAGTGTTGGTTCCTTCTTGTATCTTTTGCTACAAAGTTTTGGAAAGTGCACCCCTTTATCTTATTATCTCATAACGAGTGAGGCAAATGATATAATTTAAGATTGTGCTTTAGGAAGGGCAATGGAATAGAAGCATCGTACTTGTTCATGACAACTCAATTACTGACTAATATGTCTCAATTCTATATAATTTGAAGGTTTGCTTTGGTTTGTATGATATGAGTCATCTCAAACTAAACAAATTTATAATCCACAAAGATTGTGATTGACTTCTTTTGGGAACATATGTATTGAAGTTTCTGACCAATGGAGACATCAGAAATTCCTTATCCCATTTCTTTTATGTCACAGTATGCCTGTGTTTTCCAAATTAGAAAAAAAAAAAAAAAAAAAAAAAAAAAAAAAAAAAAAAAAGATCATGTGGAGGGAGCTGATGAACTCTGTGGCTTCATAATAGTAGTATGTTTTACTATTTTCATGGTGGGATGTTAAGAATTTCTATTTTCTATAAAGTCTCATTGTCCTTGATGCTAGATTGTTATTCTAAAGTTCTTTCTTGTCTCTATATCATTTTTCTGACCTGCTGTTTTACATTGAACTGTCACATGGAGTGCAGACAGGAGTTGCTCTTGGGGTGGAGGTTGATGACAAAATGCCACAGCATGAATATTATGAATATTTTGGTCCTGATTACACTCTGCATGTTGCTCCCAGTAATATGGAGAACAAAAATACACACCTTATGTTGGAAGAAATACAGGGAAAGCTACTTGAATACCTTACACGGCTTCAGCATGCGCCCAGTGTTCCATTTCAAGAAAGGCCTCCTGATACTGAACTCCCTGAGGTAGGTTAACATAATATAATTTGTTTCATTAGTTTTATCCTCTCTTAAATTTAACATTTCTTTTTATGTTGTCATTCCCACAGAAGTAATGAGAAGAGTTCTTATTGATTGCACTGTAGATATGATTTTGGATTAACTTTTTATAACACGAAAATATTCATTGACCTCATATTTCGCAAGATTCACCAACTTTGAAAACAATTCTAAGATACAGCTTATAATTATCACATTACCTTTTACTAATTATTAAGTAATTACTGATTAATAATCCAAGGGTTAGTAATATTTCTTTAAATACCTTCGGATTTAACCTAGAGGTGATGGTTGCTAGTGACCTGGGCAACTTGAGATATTCTACACATGATTGATTTTGGTTAGTAGTCTCCAATTCCATATCTGGCAAAGGTTGAACAGTTGGAGTATTCATGAGTTACGAGTTGATATGCTTATTGAACTGCATTCGATGTGACTCCTGTCTGTCAAATGAGTCACGTGTTGATTTTTGGTATCACTTTTCCTCATGTTTCTCTGCCAACCTGTATGCACTTCGCACCTGTGGTTTTTTCTTTTTTGCTCCATATGAAAATAAATCCAGTGTGTTTGTGTGGTGTTGCTAGTCTTCTAGGCATGGTGACAATAATTTGTTGAAAAATGTAAAATGGTAATGCAGGTTCAGTATGAGAAAACTTTATACTTGAGACGCAAAATCTGTGCCTTTTCCCCCTTCTATTTGTTGTTTATTAGGAAATAGGAAACAAATTTAAATTGGTAATTTGTTTGATTAATTATGTCATTGGTAATTGTCTCTTGATTGCAAACTGTTAAATATGATCTTCAGGCGGATGAAGACCAGGAGGATAAGGATGAGAGATGGGATCCAGACTCAGATATGAAAGTTGACGAAGAGAGGTATTTCGTTTTGTACTTGATTTCTTTTCAATTTTATCTTTACAATCCTTATTATCTTAACTTCTGCATTTTACTTGCCGTTTGGACAGAAAACCCATCCCAAGCAGAGTTAAAAGAGAAACGGTTGAGACTGAAATCAAAGATCCGGTATGCTCTAATTGAATATAGGATGTCCTATTTTTTTTCATGCCCATGCCGTGTTACATTTCCTGATTCAAGCTACCATTCATGATATATATATTTGCTTTTTGATTCTTTATGGCTTTAATTTTTTTTAGGAAGTTAATCCCGAGAGTACTAGAGGTTTAGAAAAAGCAGCTGCGGAGGCTACAAGTGCAAAGGTGAAAAATCTCTGGAAAATGGAAGCTATGAAATATTCTCTTTACAAGTTTGAAATAGAAAGCCATCACTTTTAATTGAAATGATTTGTCTTAGAAGGTTCCCCCGGAGATATTCTTCTTCTCTTGTACCTTACATAATCTTTTATGAAAAATTTTCGTTTTCCAAAAATAAAATAAAATGAAATAATGACATTTCATCTTTAGTACTCATTTGTTATGTGTTTATACTGCACTTGCAGGCTTTAGATATAGGTTCTCTCAAACTTGAAGAGTCGGGCGTAAAACTCGAAGAGACCAGCAAGCAGAATGACCAAATGTTTCCCTAGTGTTTGAAGGGTGAAGAGGGCAGGGGATCAAATACAAGAACAACTGACTCCAAGTAAATAGAGGTGACTTTTGACATTCTTTGTTGCACAGATTTTTTAGACTTGGTAGTTTTGGTGCAAGAATGAGCTGAGTCGTGGAAATCTCGTTGTGCCTCAAGTATTTGTGTATAAAAGTCTGGAGTTGATATGGATTATCTTATTATTTAGACCAGTTATGATGATTTGCGAAATGTTGTGGTGGGGCAACCTTGACATGTTATTTGTACTGAGGTTTCCATGTAAATCACCATGGAGAATAGAGTTTTCTGAAATCTGTAGGTCATGTCACTAGAGCTACTTAGTTCTTTGCCACCCTATGTTTTCTGAAATACGTTTCTTTGATCAAGATGTTAGAGGTTAGAATTCTCGTTTCCGAGAATTGCCATTTGAAACTTTGCAGTAGGGATGGAGAATTCTTATTTTGGGATGGGGACACAATTTTCATTCCATCTAAAAGTTATATAAATCCTCTATTCTATGGTTTTCCAACCTTTTCTTCCCTTCTTTGACTACGTAGCATGCTTCATCTTCATCTTCATCACTTCTTACATTATTATGAAATTCGTTATAAATTAATTATTGACTGTATAGAAATATCATCAACAATAACATCTAATATGTTATTGTCTTAATTATTCAATTAGATTTCAACTTTGAACTACAATTTTCATACTTCAAGAGAACGAACATCTTTTAATCTTAAATGATTTAAGTAGCTTTAGTTATTTGAATTGATATAATACTAAGAGTTGATGACTATGTATGTGTATATAGTCCAAAGACAAAAAGAATTATATTACATGAGATTCAGATATAATAATTGAACAATGGATTAAAGACACCAGTGGTATCTCTACATCTTAACTTCACTTATGTAAGTAGGAAAAGGATTCATCTCATCCGTTCTGGTGATATTCAAAACTATATGTTTGAACTTTACCATTGTTCATTTGTCGAATAAAAAATAACTAGTAGAGCTCAGTGTAAGGTGGGGAATAGATAATTTGAGGAGGGGATAATGAAGGGTGCAACAAGTTGTAACAACCCAAGTCCACCAGTAGCTGATATTGTCCCGTTAAGTATCGCTATCGATTATTTGAGGAGGAGATAATGAAGGGGTGCAACAAGTTGTAACAACCCAAACCCACCATTAGTTGATATTGTCCCGTTAAGTATCGCTATCGATTTTAAAACGTGTCTAATAGGGAGAGATTTCTACATCTTGATAAAGAATGTTTTGTTTTTCTCTCCAACCAATGTAAGATCTTACACATACAGTTGGAAGTGACCATGTAATTACAACACTATTTTGAGATGAGGTTTTGTAGTACTTTGTCTTCTTTGTTGAGAGTTGCAATCAAAGATCAATCACGATTGGTATGATCTCTTTTGAGTAAAACTAAAAGTAAAGCAATGATAGTTTTATGCTCAACATAGAAGATTCCAATTCATTGATATTATGATTTACAGCGACCTATGTAATCATCATACCCTAAATACCATGAATTTTCCAATGTATGGATAATATCCTATTATATTACCTTTCCACAACAATTTCAAATACTTTTATTCAAATACAAATTTCACAATCTAGAATAACCATTTAGGGGACTTAAAATCCACATTGGTGGGTAACAAATGGCAGAGCAAAAAGGAAAAAAAAGTACAGAAAAAAAGAGAAACTGATTCATATCATTTTGGGAGCTGACCAAGCTCTTCATCTCTCAAACTACTGTCATCCATCCCCTCCTTCAACAGCATCAACTCCTCATCTGAAAGTTGGCTCTTTGGCTGAGGGATGGACATTGCATTGGCTTGCTTCTCAATCTCAACGGCCCAGCTATACACCACCATCCCAATAATGGCAAGAACCATCCCTGATATGTTTTTCAATGTCATCTCTGAATCGAACAGCAGCCACCCCAACATCAGGACGCATACCGTCTTCATATGGCCTAAAACCTGGAACGATACAGCTGAGAAGCGCCCGATGCATAAATATTGACTGATGTTGCAGAACACAGCTAGGGAGCATGACAGTAATATGAAGCACTGCAACATTCGTTAAGGATAGATGTTGGTTGGAGCCCTTTTGGTCCTTGGTTCAATTATGAAAGCAAAAGCAAAACGAATACGAGATTCGAATAACGACTTACAAATGCACTAAAAGCGTAGTTGTATTTCAGTAGAGATTTACTAGTAAGGCAGTAGTCAATGAATGGGCCAACTGTTAGAAGGGAAAGTGCTTGGATGGGAGCTGTCTTGCTTAGTAATTCAAAGGATCCTATTGAGTACTTCTTCTGTAATGAACCTATAGACTGTTTAATCAATGTAAAAGTGATGAGCTTGATGTCTCAGAATTAGGTGCAACACTGAATCTAAAGTGATTTTAAAGGGAGAAAAGATAATGCTTACAATTTGTTGCAGTGATGTGCATAAGATTGCTACTAAGGCACAGAGAAAGCCTTTGGCATTAACTTTCACATCAGTCACTGTACAGACACCGACACCGACAACGACCACAACAACGGCCATCTTCACTTCCCTAGAGTATTGTTTTCCATGAAGAATCCACTCCATGACACACACCACAGGTATCATGCTTAGCTTTGATATCTACAAGCACGTGAAGCAGCAACGAAGTTTTGTTATCGTTGATGATGATGAGTGATAACAAAGGGTAAGGAGACGAGGATTGAACCTGATAAAATCCAACAGAGTTTAACATGAGGCTGAAGTTCATGGCTGTTATCGACGTGTTGGCGATAATTGAGAACCAAAGAAGCTCCCAGAAGGGAACAGATTTGGATTCAGAATAGCCAGAGGCATTTGAAATCCAGCCCACCAACGCAGTCACAGAAAAGTGAAATCCAGTTAACGTTGTAGCTGAAACAAAAGAAGAAAGCCTTGGATCAAAGCAACTAACTGATGTAATAAAAGAGGTGCATTATGGAAATGAAATTTGAAACTGAAAGTGAAGAAGAGATACAAACCAAAGGAAAAGGCGAAGCCAGTTTGGGACATGAGCTGCTTGTTGACCATGATAATTCCCACTGAGCTGATTATGTTCATACCCCAAGCTCCAACATCTGATACAGAGGACTTTCTCTCCTCCATGACCCTTTTCTTCTTCTTCTTCAAATCCAGACCAAAAAACTTGCTCCTTTTGGGCGATTTGTCTTTGTTCGAAGATATTGCTCCCAAATTCATAAGAAAGGCTGCTAGTAAAGGCTAAACTTAGATGAAATGAGAGTTGAAAGCCAGAAGAAAGAAAATTAAGTTTCATTAATTACCGTGGGTCAGCTTACCATGTTTTTAAATGCTCGTCGTTTGAATCTTTTTCCCACTAACTTGTTGCTGCAAAAATCAAAAGTCCACTCTCAATGCCTCCCGGCTTCAGCTTCTTCAATTCAATTGGATTTTGCTGCTTTTTGGGGCAACCTGCACGTTAACAACTTAACAAAGCCACAAATCCCCATGTAAGTTTTCGAATTTCAAGGCATAATAAGGCTTTCTTTTTAAGGTGGAGTGAAGAAGGAGACAAGTTTTTTTTTTTAACTTTACACTTCTATGGCTCTCACCTTTATCAAGATTTTGGGTTTCTTCCCAAATCCTAAGTAGCTTTGCTAGCTCCTATAGCCGCTCATAAATACAATCATGGTTGCTGCATGCATTAATAAAGCAGACTTTGATAAAGAGCCTAAGTACATCATTTAAAACTTGACTAAAACTGAAGACGTCTATAAACTTATATGGTTTCTACTTTATGACTTGAGACTTGGCTCTCTAGTTTCTACTTCGCCTCTAGGCATGTGATAAACTTCAATGTTATGGATACAATTGACTAGGCGCCCACCCTAAGGACCAGACGACTTCATTAACAAAGAAAGTACTGACTGGGAGCTTTTTCCCTGGCTTCCTACACCTGATTTCAGATCTGAGCTGCATAATGGAAAATTTTACAGCACCTGTTTGAAGCGATAGCACGCTGGCATATGCATTCCTTTCACCAAGCAAGTTAAATCTCTACCACCTTTTGCAAATTTGACTTTGGATATTATTAAAACAAGAGAAAGAATTGAACATAGGATACTCTTTGTCAAGTAGCAAGACAGTACATGATCCCAGGCACAATGCGAATAACAAAAGGCTCACACTCTACACCTCATAATAGAACAATTTTGTCTCACTGACTGTAGCATTCTAATAAAAATCACATTATTTAAAGTAAGTCGTAACTGTTTCGAAGGTAGAAAATCTAGCAACACTCGAAAGCCCGTGGCGTGCTTGAACTGTGGCAGGAAATATTTCCGGTGGCTTCAAAGTTTACAGGAAAACATCCTTCTCGAGCAATTTTAGCACCTCATGTTGGTTGTTTAGCTTGGCTACGTCTATGGGAGTCTTTCCATCCAGGTTTTGGAGAGTGCTGCACGCAGAGAAAGAGAGAATAGTGAAATTGTGAAGGAAAAGAGTATTAAATGGAGTAATGTCTTTCTAAGGCTGTTTGTTTACACTGCAGCGCCATTCTCAAGTAATAGTGCAACACACTCCTTCCTGCCATAACCAGCTGCATAATGAAGTGCAGTGTTCTTATTCTTATCCAGTGCATCCACCTTCACTCCAGCTTCAAGAAGGATCTGAGCGCATTTCACCTGTTTTTTTTTTTTTTTTTGGAGGGGAGGGGGACGTTGAAGATTGGTCATATCTCCTCAGTTCAAAAGTACACAACCAATTTAGCAAAAAGCCCAGCTGTATGTTTGACAATGTTACACCCTAATATGTATAAAAACACCATAAAATCATAGCATTTTCCAAGAAGACGGATTTCCCAGTTTTCATTATCAATTTCCCCAGAACTTAAGGACATATTCCTACAACCTATAGAACAGATCATGTTCAAGTGAGTTCATCAGCTTTTATCATCAATTTAACAGTACTACTAGGAAAATGTACTCAACATAAGTATTTGAAACGTAGTGAAAATAACAAAAAGGTTTGAAAAAAATTTCCCACAAGAAGCAATCATACCTCGCCATACCCACATGCAAAATGCAATGCGGTCCTTCCCTCTGAATCTTCTTCGTCCTTGTTCCCACCAGCTGCTAGTGCATTTTTTAAGCCCTTACAAAAACAAAAATAAGACCTGGATTAGGCACATTATTTCTGATCCCTTGGGTATCACCTTGTTCTTGTCCATCATTCTTCGTCATGAAACAAACTCCAAATTATTTCATTCTAATTTGTAGATAGACAAATTGATAACAATTTTTTTTAGGAGAAACATTTTCACTGAAAAATGAAATAAGATGAGCTAATTTCGTTGAGGCAAATCAATAATCATAATTTTTTTTTAAATTTTAATAATATAAATTGATCTAAGGTGAACAGAAAAGACTATCAAGTGATAATGAATTAATTTGTTTTACTATAAATAAAATTTGAACATCTTTATGGAATTCTATAAATAAATAAAAAATGGTTTTTGTCAGCATTTGTATTTATTGATTGAATAATCCCCAACAGAATTTCTAAACTTTTTTTAAACAGATTGAAGATAAAAATGATAAGCCGCAGTATTGCCACATGGGAAGGACAGGCAGCAAACTATAGATTATAGATATAACCCTATATCTAATTATGATAGGAAGAAATAGCTCCCCATGGGTTTCTTACATTACGTCATCTAAGGACATTGTGCCATCCCATGATATCACCCTATATTTACTTTTAATCTCAGTAGATTAACAATTCCATATCTACAGGTAAAGAAACACGCTCGCACTGTGGATGTTGATTAGCTTCCATGCATCTCAACTATTCTCATGAAATTACCAATAGTATTAGAAGATATTTATACTCTTTGAATCGTGTGTACAAGTTATTTTAATAATTAAATTAAGAATAAACAACATAAACAAAACAGCAGAGAAAAACATGACAACCAAACAACATAGATTAAAATGCAAACATTGCGAAATATGGTGATGTTACACTAATTAAGACAACTCCTAGTATAATATGCCTCTATAAGTGAGTCTGCATCTGATGATTAGATTGCAATAGTTCTTTCAAATGAACATAATGAAGGGGACCTTGAGGATAAAAATTGTGATGAACAATCAAGTACCTCGGCATCACCAACACTAGCAGTTTGATGAACTAAAGATTCATCATCATTTCCCACTTCTTCTGAATCATCTGCAACCGAACTTTCAGCATTTGCAGCATCTCCATGAACTGCAAAACCCATTGCTTCGCCCAATTTTTTCAAGACATCTCTGTCATTCCAGTACCTAAGAATGCAAATTTTCTTTCTTTAACAGAAGGGTCTGCAAATTTTCTCTCTGTCACCAACACTAGCAGTTTGATGAACTAAAAATTTTCTTTCTTAGTAGACTAATTTGTTCCAAAAATTGATGCAGGATTGGAAATAATTAACTATAGAAACCATAACCTCATCATGGCAGCTGGACCACCAGTCTCTATTTCATCTAAAATAGGCTTCAAAGTTGGATCTTCCTTGATTTGTGCCATGCGTTCCTCAAGCTGGTCCTTATTTGATGGATTTGCAAAAGTTTCCAGCATGCTAGACATAGATGGATCCTGGAAAATCATAAAATCAAATCATATTGTTTTGTTGACATGCTCTTGTAACAGAGAATGGAGAACAACAGGAGAGTATTTCAATTCAATTGACAACAAATACCTGCATTAGTGCATTGCCAAGGCGCTCAGCCATTGTCATAAATTGAGGATTCTGCATGACCTGCTGCATGGTAGAATAGTACTGTTGTGTATCAAACTGAGGAATACCCGGTTGAGCAGAAGCACCTTGAAAAGTCTTCTGAAGTTGAGACGCCATCTGGTTGAATGCAGGATCTTTTGCTATTTGAGAAGCTAATTCTTGAATGCTAGGATCCTGCAAGGAAAAAAAAATGTTCCTTTCTTTTATATTTCTATGCGTGGAAAGAAAATTGACAGAGTATGAGTTCAGTCTTCTTTTTCTCTGGGAAACAAATGGTTCTCGATGACAACAACTTCCCTTATCATGTTTCAGAAGTTGGCCACTAAAATTGAATTGAAATACCAAGACCATACACCTAATTATTAAATATGATTCATGTATAAGCCTAACACATGTAACTAAGAATGCATGTACCAATTAATTAACTATTGAAACTCCAAGTATATGTATATACTCATACATATACCTACAAGTGACCTTTCAACATAGATTCGGGTCTATTGAAGATGGCATACGTTAAGTACATGTATATACTCAACATAATGACCTTAACTATTGAAGATGGCATACGTTAAGCAAACCAGTCATTGCTGAGAAGTCAAAAGGATTTGGAGGAAACTCCCCTCCATGAGGTGAGGCTGAGGGAGATTTTGGATTATCTGGCTGCTGCTCTGCAGCAGATGTTTCACTTTTGGTATTTTTGCTATCTGACGGTGCTGTCTTCTCGTCTATAAATGGATAATGAATTATCAGAAAGAAACTAAACAAAAGAGAAGAGTTCATAAGAAATTACAATTATTTAAAAGGAAGAAGAAATGGGAAAAAGTGTTTTACATCATAATATTACTGAGATGTATCAGTTTTTCTTTAATTTCCCTGTATATTGACTTTATGTTGAGTTAGTAAATTATGTAATCTTAAAGCTTGAAAATTGGATAGCTCAAGACACGATTTTACTTTTAAAATGGGATTATTGATATTAAGAAGACGAATGTAGGGGGAAGCAGCGCCAAGATAGTTTACACGCCAAAGTTTTCTTTCGATATAGAACATAAAACTCATGGTTAGCTTTCTGTATCCCAATTATTTCTATACAGCAGTATATGCTCCTTAACATCAATAGAAAACCTCCTCTACACTCTGATCTTTCCACTCATCAATACCCTCGTGCTCTTTTGAACCTAGGCTAATATCCTTGTCCTGCCAGAAAAAATCATTTAGATAAAAAAGGGTGGACAAACCAGCAAATATTTTCGTCTTTGCACGCTTAAAGAGATGAGGTCCTACAGGGAGTTGAACCCAAGTTGCATTGTGCCTATCAAATGATCCATTACCTCCGCAGAACAAGCAGCCTCACAACTTAAACCACAATACGCTAATTCCACTCAAATTTTTAGCTTCATCAAAGTTAACATCCAATTGAGAGGCTAATTAATCAGGAAGCAAAATTCCTAGAAACCATCAAATGCTCTTCATTTGATATGCATTTTTAGCCACTCAAAACTAAAGCCTAAATCTAAGAAGGAACTTGAACAGAAGAAGAATCCTTTATTTCATGTGAAAATGAAGAGAGAGAGGAAAAAAAAAAAAAAAAAAAAACCCCACAAATCCTCCTCTCCCGAAAAGAAAAAGTCCCACAATCTAGGATGCAAACTATGAGTAATTGATAGATGGAATTACTACAAATGAAATTAGGAATTTACCAGCAGCAACATCCTTCGTCGAACTGGAAGCCATTGGAGCAACTGAACTGAATCAAAAAAAAAAATGACAGAACGGTTAAACCAACAGAATCTGGAAACTATGATTTTGGCACAGAATACTAGAAATGGAGCAGAAGAAAAGAATCAAAGACGAAAAAGAAGTTGGGAAGCAATCAAAGACCCTTTGAACTGGAAAACTTCAAACACGGCTACGATGGAGATTCCGAGATTGAACCTCAACCAGACCCCGAAGCCTGCAAGCAACTCAATCCAAGAAAAAGTCGAGAGAGGTCAGAACTTTGTAGATATGAAGATAATAAATCGCCTTCTCTTCCTCTATCACCTATCCCAATCGCTTGTAACACTTTCTTTTTTTCTTTTTCTTTTTAAATATTATTTTCTTTTATTTTATTTTGAGATATATTAAAAAATAATAATAATAATAATAATATATATATATATATATATCAAAGAAATATTTGTAAAATAACTTATATAGAGAAAATAATACTAAAAGTAGCAATTTATAATTTTTTTTAATTGTCTAAAACTATTTTTAAAATCTAAATAAAGTCTTGAATTTTTTTTTTTTTGAAATTTAAATAAGAAATCAAATGTTTATTTAAAAACAATGAAAAAAAAATAATTAGTTTTCAATTTTTGTTATTTTTAATTTGTTCTAGAAACTGGAAAAATAATTATTAATTTACCACAATTATATTTTTGGTTTTTAATTAAATTAAATGTTTTTGTTGTGTACACGCAAGCAAACAAACTAGGGTTTCAGTGGGCCCCGCAATCCTCATCTCTGCCAAACCAATGGCTATTATTAAGCGACGGAATTTATTTATTTATTTATTTATTATTATTATTATTATTATTATTATTTTGTTCGGGGCAAAGAATTTGTGGTTCTAAATTAATGTTAATTAATATTATTTAAAAAACATTTTTGTAACTGTAATTGAAAATAGTTTTTTTATAAGCTATTGGTTAATGCTTTTACTACTTTCCAAATTATTTCGTTAAATATTAAATTATTCATTTATTATGATTTAATTTTAATTTGGTACCTAGACTTATATAAAGTTTGACATTTTTTATTTTCTAAAACCAATTAAAAAAATATTACAATATACTTGTGTGAAATTACTGTACTGGCCTTGCTTGGAATGAATATTTATAATATAATTTAGATGATTTATTTAAAAAATATTTAGATATTTTTATTTTTTACCGTATATAATCTTTTAATTATTGAAGTTGACTCTATTGAGCTAGTGATGGTGTTTTAACAACACATCCTCACGATAGGATTATATTATCTAGGTTGAACATAAATTCAGAATTATTTATTTAATTATTTCAGACGAATAGAGAGAATTACGTTTACTTATACTCTCGAATTTGAAAAGTTTCATTTCAACTTTAAAAGTTCGACTTTCTTGAAGGGTTTTGTCGTTAAAATTTATATTAAAAAAAATTTGTATTTATGTAATAGCTCAAGCCCACTACTATTAGATATTATCTGTTTTGACTCATTACATATCGTCGTCAGTCTCACGGTTTTAAAAATCGTTGCGTGAGAGGCTTTCAAACCCTTCTAAAAAAATGTTTCGTTATTCTCTCCAACCTATGAGATCTCAGAGTTAAATTTTGTAGTTGCTTGTGGGAAGGGGGGCAAGAGGTTGAAGGAAGGAAGACTAACAACATGCACAATTCACCGAGAAAATTTAATTTCTCTTATTATTAATCAAGAATTTCGTATAGAGCTAAAACGATCCTCCGAAAGTCCCAATACTAATTTGTTCATAATTAATATATTGAAGCTATAGTATCTGATCCTAACTGGTATGAATTAAACAAATGGTTGGAATTTTAATATATTTATTTAATTTAATTTAATTTAATTTTAAAAAAATTTGACAAAAATTTAAGACATTTTAGGTATATTTTATTAGCTTATTAATCAAATATTTGCATAATTATTTTCGCTTCATTCAATTTAAAATCTTCCAATTTACTTTAATAACATTGTTTTCTAAAAAATATGATTACAAAAAAAAAAAAAAAAAAAAAAAAAAAAAAAAAAAAAAAAAAAAAAAAAAAAAAAAAAAAAAAAAAAAAAACTCTAATCCTCCTCTTTTATTTATTTTTAAATAATTTATTTTAGCAAAAGAATATATCTATGTTTTAAGATTTTGAGCAAACGAATGATAAGTCCCAGTACAACGCAATATCAAGAACCGCCAGCAAAATTCTCACACTGTGTCGTCCGTGGCGCTTCCTGAGTATCTCGCACCCTGTCTGTGGTAAGTTCTCGACCTAAATCTCAAGATTTTTGCCCAATTTTTGGTGCATGTTTCCAAGTTATGGATCTTAGGCATGTGTTTTTCTGTAATTGATTATAATTTTCATTTCATCGCTGCTTGTGGAAATTGAATTGAGTCGGATTTCGTCCTTTCCAAGCTTGTTTTTGAGATTGTTTTTGTTCGTTATTTGAGAAAGATTTGCGTAGAATCTCTTTTGTTTCTTCCATGCAACCTCTAAATAACTCAGATCTTATGCGTTCTCTAATTAATTTCGCTGATTCTCAGTGTAGAAGGTGTAGCTAGAAATGTCTTTTCCTTTTTATAGATCTCGCTGCACTCTTGTTTTTGTTTTATGATTTAAATTGCTATCATTTTTTTTCTTCTTCTAGCGAATGGTTCTTTTAAGTTAGAGATTGCCGCATTTCTTTCAGTTTCCAATGGCCTCTTCCAGTTCGAGGAAGCCCTCAATCTGTTGGGGTTTCCTCGTGTTTCTGGTACTTCTTGCCTATCGTTGCGATGCCTTCTATCTTCCCGGAAGCTACATGAAAGTTTACTCCCCTGGAGATCCTATATTTGCTAAGGTTAATTCCTTGACTTCCATTGAAACCGAGCTTCCCTTCAATTACTATAGTCTCCCCTACTGCAAACCACCGGATGGTGTCAAGAAAAGTGCAGAGAATCTTGGGGAGCTGCTTATGGGTGATCAGATCGATAACTCTCCTTATCGTTTTCGCATGAATGTAAATGAAACAGTCTACCTTTGTACTACCCAGCCTTTGAGTGAGGTTCAAGTGAAGCTTTTGAAACAGAGAACCCGTGATCTCTATCAGGTAAACATGATACTGGATAATTTACCAGCCATGAGATTTACCCAACAAAATGGGGTTAAAATCCAGTGGACTGGGTTTCCAGTTGGGTATACACCATCAAACAGTGAGGATGATTATATCATTAATCACCTAAAGTTCACAGTCTTAGTTCATGAGTACGAGGGGAGTGGTGTGGAAATAATTGGCACTGGGGAAGAAGGTATGGGTGTGATTTCGCGAACTGAGCAGAAGAAGTCTTCTGGATTCGAGATTGTTGGATTTCAGGTTGCACCTTGTAGTGTTAAACATAAATTTGATCCTGAAACTATGAAAAAGTATAAAATGTTTGAGAATATCACACATATAGACTGTCCGACAGAACTTGATAAGTCCCAGATTATCAGGGAGAAAGAGCAAGTATCATTCACTTATGAGGTGCAGTTTGTCAAAAGTGAAATACGGTGGCCGTCGAGATGGGATGCGTATTTGAGAATGGAGGGTTCCAAAGTACACTGGTTCTCTATTTTAAATTCTCTAATGGTAATCTTCTTCTTAGCTAGTATAGTTTTTGTCATATTCTTAAGGACTGTGAGAAGAGATTTGACAAGGTATGAGGAGTTGGATAAAGAATCTCAAGCGCAGATGAATGAGGAGCTCTCTGGATGGAAACTTGTGGTGGGAGATGTGTTCAGGGAACCTGATTGTTCGAAGCTCCTTTGTGTGATGGTTGGTGATGGCGTTCAAATCTTGGGGATGGCAGTTGTTACTGTTGTTTGTACAGCCTTTGGCTTCATGTCACCAGCTTCAAGAGGAATGCTACTGACAGGGATGATTATTCTTTATCTTTTCCTTGGGATTATTGCGGGTTATGTCGGCGTACGTGCATGGAGAACCATTAAAGGAACATCGGAAGGGTGGCGGTCGGTTTCCTGGTCAATTGCTTGCTTCTTTCCTGGGATTGTCTTCGTCATTCTTACAATACTGAACTTCATACTTTGGAGCAGCAAGAGTACGGGTGCCATTCCCATCTCACTATATTTCGAACTCTTGGCTCTCTGGTTTTGCATATCTGTGCCACTCACCCTGCTGGGAGGGTTCTTTGGCACACGAGCAGTGGAAATTCAATTTCCTGCAAGAACCAACCAAATTCCGAGGGAAATTCCTGCACAAAAGTACCCATCTTGGCTTCTCATTCTTGGAGCTGGGACCCTTCCCTTTGGAACCCTTTTCATCGAACTCTTCTTTATCCTTTCTAGTATCTGGCTTGGAAGGTTCTATTATGTTTTTGGCTTCCTACTGATAGTCTTATCTTTGCTGGTTATTGTGTGTGCTGAGGTATCACTCGTCCTTACCTACATGCATGTGTGTGTGGAAGATTGGCGGTGGTGGTGGAAGGCTTTCTTTGCTTCTGGTTCCGTTGCTCTTTACGTGTTCTTATATTCCATCCACTACTTAGTCTTTGAGCTGCAGAGTTTGAGCGGCCCAGTATCAGCCATTCTTTATCTTGGTTATTCATTGATCATGGCAACGGCAATCATGTTGTCAACTGGCACCATCGGCTTCTTGACGTCCTTCTACTTTGTTCACTACCTATTTTCATCAGTAAAGATAGATTAGAAATAGCCAACACCGCCCTTGAACGCGCAGGCCGTGGATGCTTTCGGTAACGTTTTGGCTCTTTGGTTAGTCCCCCGGTACTTCTTTTTTCACCTTAGCAAGTTTCTTAGGCAAATGGTCTTGGGAGCTGGTATGTTATATATGGAGTGAAGTGGAGTGAAGTCCAAAAGGAAATTGCCTTGGTTTCTTAATGCCATTGATCTCGTTTTGATTGCGCGCTTTTATCCAATCAATTTCAAAATTGTTAGGTGAATCTTGAAAAGTACCATTGTTTCAGCCTTCCATTATTGTATACCATTTCATTGTATCGATATTTTCACTGATCGAAATGACATTTGAAATTAATGAACGGTTCACTCCATAACGAAACACTGGTTTCTAAACAATTTAGAAATTGAGTTGGGATGAACTTTAGAAGCATTTGAAAGTAAGTTAGACACGAGCACACGAAGGTAAAGTGAGATTAGTTCCCTTTAAATGTGTTTTTTTTTTTTATTACTTTCACGTTTGGGTTCGTAAATTTACCAATTGTGAGGGTATCACTTGTTTTGGATTGAAATTAAACCATTTTAAGAATATTTTGAAACAAACCATTAAGAACTTGGTACATCAATAATCTAATATATAGTATATCAAATATGCTTTTGACATATCTATATGATAAATCTTAATAATAAAAAAATGAAAAAATTTAGATTTTGCCAATTTTATTTCATTAAATTAAGATAATATTTATCGAAAAAGTGAATGGAGAAAAGAAAAGTGCTTTTTTTTTTTTAGTTATTATTTTTTTTTTTTAATGATATGATATATGTATGAATATATTTTTTTTTGGTGAGGAGTGTAGTATTTTGGTCAAATTTATTTAAGCTCATTAATTTTCTTAAAAGACACGCCACGTGTCACAATCACGATTTTTAGACAGGAGATTTGGCGATTGTGAGGCACCCACTCTTAGCATTGAATGGGTCAAGCCTACTTCGAGTTAAGTTACCTGCGGTCAGGTAATGTGAATACAAACCTTGGGTCTCGATTTCAAGAGAAGATTTTAGAAAGCGGGTGCAAAATAGTTTTGAAGACAAGAGAGAGAAATTGAAATTGGGGTTATATGGCAATAACAACTACTTCCTACATATAACTATTGGGGAGAGAGAAGTCAGGCGCAAGAGAACCTTTATCTCAAGATTGGTTGATTGACAACTAGTCATATTCCATATGGTACATTCATTTCATGCGTACCATGCGTAGCTATGACATCGTCGAAATGTCATACTCATAAAGAAAACAAGAAAGAAGTAATACAACATGAAAGGGGTAAAAAAAAAAAGCAATAAAGTAGTACAAAGCAAAAGTTTTGGCGTGTCACGGACATGCGGTCATGGTCAACATACCTTGGACAAGCATGACCGTGATACTACGCATCCCATTTTCATAATTGACATCAATTTCAACTAATAAATTAGACTCAAAACAATTTTTTATTTTTTATTTTTTATTTTTATAGTTTTTCTCTTTTAAATTTTTTTTTTATTATTATTTTGCATTTATAACTAAATTTAAAAAAAAAAACAAAAAATAATTTTTTAGAATTTTTAGAATTTATAAATTTAAATTTTAAAAACTAAAAATTAAATAAGAAATGGTAATTAAACGACACTTCAAAAATAAAAATAAAGGACCGAAAGAATTAAATATAGATGGAGAAAATGTTTCTTCTTTTTGGGTTTTCGTAATATTATTAATAATATTATTATTTAAAATAAATAAGAGCTCTAGAAACTAGCCGTTAACAAACGTAGACCCACTGAACTAATGCGCTGTCGCGCTCCTTCTTCTTCCTCTTCTTCTTCTTCTTCTTCTTCTTCTTCTTCTTCTTCGTCTTCGTTGTATTTGATTCTGTCCTGTACTTCAACTCTTTCAAGCTTCTTCCTTGTGCTCCTTCAACGTCTCTCTTCTATACCAGAAGCCCCTTCCCGTTAGAAGATTTATCATTGGCCACGATGTTCACAGATGGCCTTGATGAAACTGCAATTGACTGGATAAAAAAGGTACTCTCGATTCTGATGCAATTCCTAGCGTTTTTGTTCGTTTTTATTCGATTCAGTTTACAATCCGTTGCTTCTTTCTCCACAGGGGAGGGATAAGCCGGTGGAAGATGAAGCTCGAATTCGATCTCCTCTTGCCGAGAGAACCGGCGCCGATCTATTTCCAAAATCTCCTTTGGCGTTTAATGGCAGTGGATTCATGTCTTCTCACGTTTTGCCTCCTTTGAAATTCCGTTCTGGATTGCTTACTCCTCATAGTTTGGCTTCTCCTTGCCTGGATGACGACGAGGACGATGATGATGGAGATTATGATGTTAATGAAAGTATTGCTTCAGTTCCGTTTGAAGATGGTGGAGTTTATTCTGACGATGATGGTATGCGATTTCATGATTCGGATTTCTTGGAGAAGCCAGTTATTGAGGGTTTTGATGAAGATGCATTTGGCTACCATTCTAGCGTATATTCCGGTGAGATTAAAGTGCCTGGAATCTCAAATATATCTTCTATCAATAGAGGGCATTTGAAGGAAGATCTCAGGATTGAGGTGCCTGTTAATTTAAGAAAATTTCCTGGTGGAAGGTTGGGTGCGAGGAACTTCCCCCAAAAATTTTCAACTCCTAATCATGGAAGTCGGCACAAGAATCAAGTCCACTTTCACAGCGCTCGTGTAAGAACTTCAAATCCCTTCTATTTCTCTTTATATGTTGCAGATTATTGTATTTGTCCTTCTGAAAGCTGAACTGAGTTGATCGTTGCAGGGACCTCAAGTCCACAGAAGTGTTTTTGAGGATTTGGCAGGAACCCCCAGTGCACCTCCCATTGCTGCTGATGTTGGAAGTGGTGAAGCGACAAGCACCGAGTGTGAAAGTCAGACCAGACGAGATTCTGAAGATTCAAGTGAAATTGATCAAACTGGCAATGGATGCCCATTGCGAGCACATGAGGGTCTTGATGGATGTAAAGAAGTTTTGACAGATTGGACACCTTGTTCTCCAGCAAACACCCAAATTTTTGAAAGGTTTGGTGGTTTTTAGTGGACTACTTTTACCTGAAAGAACCTTTAAATTTGTTCTTTCAATTTTCTCAGTTATATTCTTTTGTTAACAGAACTTCAACAGGAGCTAAAGATTCTCATATCTCTCAACTGCAAGCAAACTATCCAGATTCTTCATCCTGTTACAACACAAGGTCTTATTGAATCCTACTCCTCTTGAGCCTGGATTCAAGTAGTTATTTATTAGTTGTTTCTATCATTTGCTTCAAGGTACTTTTGGTTATTACTGATCTTAACATTCTTGTCCATTTTGAGTTTCATAATTGCAGCGGTCAGCATGCCTGGCAAACGCTACTTGCATATGATGCTTGTATTCGGTTATGCCTACAAGCATGGGAAAGAGGCTGCACAGACTCACCTGAATTTTTACGCAATGGGTGCCTGATTCTTCGAAATGCTTTTGGGTACCGATCCCCTTTCTTGTGCATTTTGACTAAGTATTGCTCAATTTGAAAGTTCATGATACCGTTTATTGGACCTCTTATGGGTTCTCTCTATGAATTGACTACTATGTAGGCTACAGAAATTTTTATTGCAACCTCGGCTGGCACAACCAACAGAAAGGGGGAGGAACACTGAGCATTCAGAACAAGTAGTTACTTCGAACCCGAAGCAAGTTGTTGGAAAGATAAGAGTGGAAGGTACAAGATTCTTCAGAAGATTTCACCACCATTTTAAACAATATATTTGGTTTGATTCCCTGTCCAAAGACTCCTAGAGGGCTACTTGGTTATGTGTTGTCAAACTTTCTATTAAATTGAACGACTTGGTTCCTTTTGAGAGCTCTGCTTTCTATGTTCCAATTTAGTGAACAACCAATTCTGTGCTGGTTCTCTCTCTAGTCTTAGAAATCGAAACAACTTTTCTCCTTTCCAATAATTTGTTGGTGTATTGATTGACCAAGATTTTTTGTTTTGATACTGGCAGTGAAAAAGCTTAGATTGATACCAAAGAGGAAACTGATGAATACATATTCGCAAAAAAGCTCAATCTATATGCGAGCTGGGGCAGAGTACATCCGAAATATCTCAACTTTCGTGAAAAATGGCATAAATTCTCTAAAAGAGGCTTCGTTCTCAACTACTTCAGAAGGTTTGTAGTTAGTACCAAATTTGTTCGTTTTTTTGCTTTCTTCAATTGTGACACACGATTGATCTTTCACCAAGTTGGAAAATGATGGGTCCTATTTATTATTTGCGCCAATTTATTGTCTGAATTTTGTACGTTAATAGGGTGATACAGTCCAAATACTTCCAAAAGATAAGTATGGGCATAGATGACATGCAGGAAAAAACAGGAATAAGTGTTTTTCTATAATTTCCAGTTCAGTAGTGGAAAGTGATTTACTTTTTTAATGTTTCGCAGAACAATTATCGTGCTTATTTCAGTTGAAGAGTGCTGCAGAAGTCTCTGAAGTGGAGTGTGCTTCTGCTGTTTGCTTGCACCCTAGCAGTGGAGACTACCATGTCTTGTAAGTTCTGTGGTTTACCAGCTTAACTTGCTAAGAAAGAGCTCACATATGAACCACTGCTCTAAGACATTATTTCTTTTTCTGAATTAATATTACACCAATCCCCTTTAGCAGAAGATTCTGCCTTTTCTAGTAGATCTATGTTATTAACTCAAGATCATATGTATTTGTGACTTCAGTTTCCCTGAGGCTCCAGGAGATACTCTTTTGCTAGAAATCCAGGATGTTAAGAAAGTTACCCAAGGTCGAACTATGATTGCAGTTTCATCCTTGATCGATAACACAGTAAGTAATATGTTTCAGTTATACTTTTTTGCACTTGATCAATCAATAGTAATAAGAAATGAACTGACTTCACCCATTATGTGCAGAATGATAGAATTCGGTGGTGGCCCATATACCATGATGACCAGGAATGTGTTGGAAAAATTCAGCTTTCTATTGTTCACACATTGACAAGTGACGAGACTAATCATATGAAGGTAATTTTTTCCCCTCACAAGTACTAACGTTTTAAGCTTTTATTTGGAAGCAAATTAATGGGCATATCCTTACATAATGGGATTTTCTTTTGGTTCAAAAAGATGGATAGATTGTGGGTTTGACTGTTCCTTTTGTTTTCAAATGATACAGAGTGGACCTTTAGTTGAAACTCTTGCCTATGATTTAGTGCTAGAGGCTGCGATGCGTGCACAGCACTTCTGTTCCACAAATCTTAGGATAGATGGACTTTGGAAATGGTTATTGAC